TAATATGTGCAAATTAAGTGTTCATTTAGTTTTTAGTAAACGGAAAAACTATAAGTAATAGAAATAAGACAATGCACTTATACATTAAAGATCATTGTTATAAAAAAGAAGTTTAAGGAACAAAAACTATTCATATTATTGTATATATGCAGCACTTGGCTTTACGGATTTAGATATCGTTGCTTTCATTTTTAAAATGTTAACTGAAGAAGTATGTAATTTTTTTGTATATTGTTCAATCTACGTGAAGCGATTCCGTGTTCCCTAATTCACACAAAAACTTGTGTTCTGAATACAAATATGCTCTTGTAACTGACGAAGACTTTGGAAAATGATCTTCTTGTTGTTGTTCCACGGCATCAGCACCATTCAAAATATTTTCACTAATAAACATATGTTTTCAATTGCTAATGCCAAAAAAAAAAATTTTTTAACGTAAGTTTCAATTAAGCGGGTAAATTTACACGTATTTGTATGCAATATATTTTTGGCCGATCGGGTGATTCAAATAAGCGGGAAAATCAATTGACCGGGGGTCATCTAAGCGGTTGATGCTGGAAACAGTCACCGACGCAAACCCGTAGACCGAATTAGCTGAATGGACGTAGAAACGAGTGAGGTGATTGCTCTCCTTCAACTCAGGGTTGTCAGTCTCGACATTTTGCAGTAATAAAAAATATATTTCAAATATTCTTAAACTAACTCAAAATGTGCTTTTCATGAAAAATTTTAACTAAAAAACTTAATGTGTGCAAAATCGTGTATACAAATTGAAAAATGAAAACATTGGTTAAATGAAAATGAAAGAGAACAAATGATTTCTACGTTGCCACTACGGGCATAACTTTTGACTAATTTTGTTTAATACAGGCGGTAAGTATGGAAGGACGGAATGTCAGTGACTGTTTGAAGCATGATACTGTAGTTTAAAAATAAGCGAAATTGATTTATAACCCATGCCCGTTGCGCACATTTCCAATGCCATCAGATTGTTTCATTTTGTAATTCATTAATGAAGTAGCAATGAAGATGTCAGAATGAAATGAATATTTTGCCTAAACAACAAAATGTAATAAAATTTATAATATTTAAAAATCATTCTAATGTTACAAGTTTGTGCCACTTCATTTTCAATTGATAATTTTTGTCATGGATAATACGTTTGCAGAGTTGGTCGTCTGTAGCGCATGTTACCGCAAGTTCATCGTTGTCGATGCTAACCAAATTCACAACATAGAATTTTTAAAGTACGCTATGACGCCCAGGGGCAACCTAGCTTAGGTCAAAAATTTCTTTATAATTTTCATGCGTGAGTTAAGGAACGCAGCATTCATTATCATACTCACGCGCCCAAATCAATCACCACATCCAGCTGTAAACAAACAATATGCATCGAGACATATTTCTGCAAGTAATAAAAATGCTTCGTAAATATATTTATCAGCACCAGATAAGAACAAGTCGTAAACATATTTATGGGCAGAAGATATAAATACAACAGAACAACATCCATGTACTGTTATAATCTTAGTATTGTCATCAGCCAAGAAGGCATATTATACTCAAAAAACATAAATTTAATAATAAATAGTAACTGCGGGGTCAACTGGGATTGCTATCCAACAGTCAGTTTTTGAAACATAGGACTCAAAAACCAAATCCACAGTCTTTAAGAAAGACACAGCAGGTTCCTGAAAAATTGGAAAAACAATAGCAACAGCAAATCACTGCAGTTCCAGAAATAAAGGAAGCACATTTTGTTAACAAAGCTCACACTTTGCCACACTGAGAAAACACAAAAAACTGGAGCATATCAAGAATTTCCGAAAGGAAAAAAATAAAAACTTCATGGCAGTTGAAGAAAATTAGAAGCAGTTACGATGACATCAGAAATGGACCAAATACTCGCCCATATTGACGAACTTACTCCAATCAGCAGAATCGAATAGCAGCGATTGAATCAAGCCAATCGTTTAAAGTATCAGCTGTCGTTCAACACGAGGCAACATGAAAAAGATCGTACATGAAAGAAAAACACTAGCTGAATTCCACAGTGAAGTGAAGCACTTAATTTGGCATTATCAAAGATTGAGATGTCCGAAAATCCAAACAATATGTCTCAATAAAGGACTATGCGAATCAGGAAGCAATAAGGACATTAGGCTGATTCAAAAAAAAAAATTAATGTTTTTTTTTAAAAAAAACTTGTAAAAAACTAATATTAATATTAAGAGCTCTGATTTTCACAGGCGTCTTTTTGCATCTCCACGAAAGTTTTTACGTGAGGATTTCGAATAAACTTTAAACATTTTTTGAATCAGCCTAAAGGACATTCATCCTAGGGATAATAAGGAAATATGTATATAAGTGGGACATGGTATATTCATAACCCTAAGCATTTGGAAACAGCTTTTGAAATAGCTAGTACTATTTACCATGACAATGTTAATCGCCAACTCAAGGAATATTTTAACCTTACAAGGGGGAACGAGCAGCAAAGGTTCCAAAAACCTTGAAAAACAAAGATAAAAGAAAATATAATCCAGATAAAATAGATAAACTAAATGAATTTAAAATGATATTAGGAGAATAAGGACTTATAACGCTTAAGGCAGAAGTGAATTTATTTGATTATAACATAAACTACCAGAAGGAAGTGATTCATAACGTGGAACCAAACATTAAAATTGCTATTAATAATCCTCAACACGAAGAAGATATAAGAAAATTATAAACGTTCAAATATGTAAAACTCTCTCTCTCACTACAACTATTCAGGCGACAATCAGGACTCAGACAGAGGATCCAATATGGACAAAAGCCCATATAATTCACCTTTATGAGCAGTTCGAAAAAAAGGCACTGACGAACAAGGTAGGCCAAAAAGAAAAATGGTAATTGATTTTCAAAAAATTAATGCTCAGACAGTCACAGATAGATATCCAATACAAAATTTAGGTTAAGCAAAAGTATTTTCAACTATAGATTTAGAATCAGGATTCCACCAAATTTTAATAAGGGAATCTGATAGAGAAAAACCGCATTTTCAGACAATCGATCAAAGAATGAGTTTGTTAGGATGCCGTTTGGGTTAAAAAAATCTTTCAACGATGAGTAAACGATATCATACGGGAATATATAGGTAAATTTGCATATGTTTATATAGTCGATGCACTAATATTCTCTTCTTTACGCGAAGAACTTATCGGACACGTTTTAACTATAACAAATGCCACATAAAGCCAATATGAAAATTTCAGACAAAAAGTCACATTTTTTTAAGACTCAGTCGTGAATATGGGGCTCTTCATTAAAGCTTCAAAAACACTAAAGGAACTAAGGTAACTTTTAGGAATTGCTAGTTATTATACAAAATCATCTATCACATCTATTACTAAACCCTTAACTATTCATTTAAGAGATCAAGGAATGATACAAAAAAATCAGAGCACTGAAGTAGACATCAAATTAGACGAGTCAACACTGAATGCACTGCCACAAATAAAACTAGCTCTTCAGGAACAAACAGAACTCTTTCAACCAGATTTCTCGAAACCATTTGATTTAACCCCTGATACCAGTAATTTTGCTATTGGACCAATACTGTCTCAAAATAAACAACCAATTAGATCCAAAAAAAGGTGAAACAATTTAATTGAATAATATGGAGTAAAACTTGATTATAAACCGGGGCATCAAAATTTTGTAGCAGACGCCTTATCAAGGCAACAAATAAATGCGAATACTGATTGTTCTCAACATTCAGCAGAAAGTTCACCTGTAGAACAGTTCAAAAGAATGAAACAAACATTAAATCCATTTAAAAAATTTAAATTACACCTATTTATGACCCAGCAGACGTAGGCGTATCAACGAGAACAATCTTTCCAAATAGAGTACGCCATACCATCCACTATAAAAACAAAAATGACTTAATAGAAAAATTGAAAGGAGTTACAAGACCAATTGTCACGAACGCTTTAAGAATAGACAAGAAAATATTTTTTCATGTCAAAGATGACAATATTGCTCATTTTCCAATTTTTACATAGACGAGCAAAAGGAAATAGTAGTAAAGAAACACAGACGTGCTCACCGCAATTACAAAAATAAAACTCAGAAAATTTTACTTACACATTTTTCGCCCAACGTAAAAGAAATGTGTAGAACAGAAACAATAAAATGTGAAATTTCTTTACAATACAGGTATGAAAGACATCCAAACAAACTGCCTATAGGAAAAACACCCATTCAAAAAAAGTATGCGAATAAAGGTTGGTTGAAAAGTTTCTGCGCTCGAAATGAAAAAATACTGTTTTTGGTACGAAATATATTTTTTTATTCAACTTATTCTCCCTTAACTTCAGTACACTTATACCAATGATCCTCCAATAATCCTCTTTAAATGACTTTCCAGAAGCTCTGCAAATTGTTTAGGTGTCTGAAGAGTTAGTAGTCGCTGGGAGCCAAATCTGCTATACGGTGGATGCTCAGCCAATTCGTACTTTAATTCATTGAATTTTGTCATTGTTAAAACACTTTTGTGAGCAGGTGCATTGTGTTGATGAAAAATGATTTTTTTGTGCTACAAACTAGGTCTTTTATCACGAATTTTTTCATCCAGCTGATCCAAAAGGTTGCAATAATAATCAGAGTTGATTGTTTCACCTTTCGGCAGATAATCAATCAACAAAATTCCTTTTGCATCCCAAAAAACTGATGCAATAACCTTCGTTGCTGATCGTTGTAACTTCACCTGCTTTGGAGCTAAAGAGCTTCAGTCCACTGTAAACTTTTTGTTTCAATTTAGGATCATGAGGGTAGATCCAAGTCTCATCCATATTTATAAAACGACGCAAGAATTAGGTTTTATTCGGCTTAAAACCCTCCAATTTTTGCTGAGAAGTTTTTACAGTACTCGTTCGTCTGCAATTTCACGCTTAGTCAAACTTGGATTTTCACTAAAAATATTATGAATTTGATCAATGATTTTTGGTGAGGTTGCGGTTTTTGGTCGTCCTTCGCGTGGATCATCTTCATCATTAGTACGACCACGTTTAAATTCACCAGTCCAAAATCAACGGTACGTTTTGAAGCTAAGGACCACTTATACACGTAATACAACTATTCATAAATTTCCTTTGCTTTTAAGAGGGGGTTAAGGTTTCAAGATTTTTTTTGCGAATTTTTTTCTTCAAAACAAAGGATTAAATCACTGTGCGATATTAAATTTTTTGATATTAAAACAGTACTCTGGCACGTAAACTTCAAATGGATTGTAAACAAAGAATTAATTGAAAGAACTTTGCATGTGTTCTCACGACAGATCTACCAACTTTAGAAAACAACAAGAAAAAAAGTTGCAATGAAGCTATACTACCCTTCACAAATACAAAGGTTCCTTACAAGAACTTGATTCCGATCATTTAATTTGTATGCCAGCTATATGATATAGTGATCTGATCTGAACAATTTCTTCGAAGAATAAATTGATGGATTAAATACGAATTCTGTCCAAATTTCGTGAATATACCTCGTCACACAAAATAAAAAAACGATCGTTCAGTTAATATGGCAGCTACATGGTATAGTAATCCGATCTATACAATTTTTTTGGAGATTGCAGTATTGCCTTAAACAATAATCTTTGCCAAATTGCGTGTAGATACGTCGTGAAATGAAACACTTTTCCGTACAAGCACATGTTTCCGATCGTTCAGTTAATATGGCAGCTATATGCTATAGTGGTCCGATCTATACAACTTCTTTGGATATTACATTCTTGTCATCGAAAATCACTTATGCCAAATTTCAAAAAGATAATATGTAAACTAAAAAAGTTTCGCACACAAGTACTTGATTCCAGTCGTTCAGTTAATATGGCAGCTATATTCTATAGTCATCCGATCTATACAATTTCTTTGAAGATTTCAGCAATTTCTTTGGAGTTAATATTGTGACGAACACGGATGATAGAACAAAATCGAATCAACGATAAACTGCCAGAAGCAACTAGTTAGCGAATTCGTAGTTGCCAGAATGTTCTAGAAGCACTGTTTTGTTACAGATTTACTATATAAGGGCTGCCGGATTGTGCAGCAAACACAGTTCTAATTAGAGTGCTGCCGTGTAAAGAGCAATTAAACTATAAGCAATAAGTGTTGGAATTGGAAATAAAGATAAGTGTATAGCATTAAATTGGGACTTTAATTTAACAATCCAGTGATCGAGCTCAAGAGTGAGCTATAGTTAGACGATTTATCGAGAAATCCGTTACAATTGGTGTCAGAAGTGGGATTGTCAAATAACTTCCCAAAGAGAGAAATAGCTAAAGGATCAAGGTCCAGGAGTCATGGGCAGATGAAACAGCACAATTCGCGTGCGCCAGTTGAGAAAATAGGCGTGTATGAAGATGGTCCATTCCCCACCAATAAATTATGGAATAGTCATGTTTTGGTAGTCAAGGACCATTTCAACGAATGGCCACAACATTACACAATTCCTAACCAAGAGATTGAACCAGTGGCGGAGGCATTCATCAACAAGTGGGTAACGAGATTCGGTGTTCCAATGGAGTTACGTTCTGATCAAGAATGGAATCTCGAGTCAGCTTTAAGTCAAGGGATGTACCAGAAACTGAGTATCCGGAAAACGGATGGAATAAACTCCAAGAAGAGAAGGACGGCTAACGATGTCAGCACCAGCCTAGAAGACGAGATGGGGGACATAAAAGCTTTGTGTTTGGTATCGCAAATATGTCTAATCGGGACGAACAAACTTAGGTGGAGGGCAGTGTGACGAATACGGATGATAGAACAAAATCGAATCAACGATAAACTGCCAGAAGCAACTAGTTAGCGAATTCGTAGTTGCCAGAATGTTCTAGAAGCAATGTTTTGTTACCGATTTACTATAAAAGGGCTGCAGGATTGTGCAGCAAACATAGTTCTAATTAGAGTGTTGCCGTGTCTTTACACGAAATTGCTCTTTAGCAATTAAACTATAAGCAATAAGTTGTAAGTTCGAATAGCGAGCAATAATTGTAAAGTTGTTGGAATTGGAAATAAAGATAAGTTTATAACATTAAATTGGGACTTTAATTTAACAATCCAGTGATCGAGTTCAAGAGCGAGTTATAGTTAGACGATTTATCGAGAAATCCGTTACAATATTATTGCCTTAGAACATAACTCATGCCAAATTTCGTGCAGATATTACGTAAAATAAAAAAGTTTCCCATACAAGTACTTGATTCCAGTCTTTCAGTTAATATGGCAGATATATGCTATAGTCATCCGATCTAAACAATTTCTTTGGAGATTTCAGCAATTTCTTCGGATATTACATTGTTGCTATAGAACAATGGTCGTTCAGTTAATCTTGCAGCTATATGCTATAGTCATCCGATCTATCTAATATTTTTTCGGAGATTGCAGTATTGCCTTAACTAATAATCCATGCAGAATTCCGTGAAAAAACGTCGTCAAATGAAAAAGTTTTCCATACGAGCACTTGATTTCGATCGTTCGGAGTGTATGGCAGCTATATACTATACTGATCCGATCGATACAACTTTTTCGAAAATTACATTGTTGCCTTAGAAAATATTTCATGCCAAATTTCGTGAAGGTATTACGTAAAATAAAAAAGTTTTCCATACACGTACTTGATTTCGATCGTTCAGTTAATATGGCAGCTTTATGCTACATTCATCCGATCTATGCAATTTCTTCGGAGCTTGCATTATTGCCTTCAATAATAATCCGTGCCAAAATCCGTAAAGATACGTCGTCAAATGAAAGAGTTTTCAATACATGTACTTTATTCGGGTTGTTCAGTTTGTATGACAGCTATGTATGTGCTATAGTCATCCGATC